GGGTTTAGGGTCTGGGGTGTGGGGTTTAGGTTCCCATAAGTAGAAGACGCCAGTAACATGAAAGGCAGCAATGTCACTATATGCAAAGGCAAGTTGGTAAATGCCTTTGTATACATTCTCTGACGTGTTTTCGGAATGTAGATGTTTTTCACTTGTAGGTTTAGGCAGATGATCAAGCATGGCCCCTATCCTGGACAACCCAGTTCGAAACTTTTCATTCCGCAAGTAAGTATTGCCATGCCATCTACTGTAACATGGTTGTCTTTCCCCGTGTCGTCGTTTCGCTGCTGTTCTGTGGTCTTCTCTGGTGTCCTCATCGATTGTTTTGGTTCACCTTCTTGCTGCTTGCCTTCGTTCTTGTCGTAGTCGTTGCCATCGTTCGTCTGCGTTTCACTCTCAATGCTACTTTCATGTGCGCCGCGACCTTTGTTGAAGAATGCTCGATCCGGAGCTGCTGAACCCTAAACCCTAAACCCTAAACCCTAAACCCTAAACCCTAAACCGTAAACCAATGATCCCATGGCGTCTTGGCTCCAAGGATCCCAGTTTTAGCTCCATCGCCTTTTAGTGCGCTCGGGGGCTGCAGTCCTTGTTCGGAGGGGGCGATGGCTCCGGCTGGCTTGGACCTTTCGCTGGAAGAGGCCGCCCTTTCCTACTTTGGCATCATGTCAAAGCCTGCTTGGGGCCGGCAGATGTCCGGTTGCAGGTCATCAAAACCTCAAAGGGTGATGGAAGGGGCAAAGGCGGGGCCAAAAGCGCGAACTGTGAAGTTCCCCAAGCTCCTCCTGCCCCCCAGCCTTGGCAGGAAGAAAGCAGGAGGCAGTCAAAGAGTCGAAGGCAGAGAAGGAGGAAGAGATCAATCTGGACCCTCCGCAACGAAAGGGCCCCATTTTGTTAGGACGACTGACACTTTTGGGCTTCTTCGTCGGTTAGCCGATCGTCGTCTGGTCGGGCTCGAGTGGGCTTGCAGTTGCAGCAATTCAACAGGGAAGCTGCATCGGTTTAGGGAGCGGTGAGGCATGTGCTGTGCTGCTGCATTGAGGACATGAGCCTGGACGAACTTATTGAGAAGGAGTATGTGCCAGCGAAGGTTCCGTCATCGGGATCCTCGCTTCGGGTGTGCCGAGCGTCAGGCATGTTCTGTCAGTCTGCTGAGCCCGCAGTCTCTAGCCAAGTGCTGAAGCTCGTTCCCAACCCGAGTTCCAACTTGTGTACATGCGTGTGCCCACAGGTGGTGGTCTGCATTCATTGTGCGTGACGTGCACATGTCCGAACATGATCGAACATGTATGCATATGTGAAGGTGTCCACCTGAACTCATCCAAACGTCAATGCATGGGTGTCGCAGGGCAAAGGCAAAGGCAAGAAGGAGGAGTCTTGGGACAGTTGGCAGCCGGAGCGTGCGCCGAAAGGCCAGGGGGCAGAACAAAGTTTTTGAGGTTTCTTGGTATTGAAGTCCCCTCAACCCTAAACCCTAAACCCTAAACCCTAAACCCTAAACCCTAAACCCTAAAATCCTCAAGCTGGCCACAGTTCGAGTGTCACAGCCTTCAACCTCGGCCTGCCCTGCCTGGCAGGAAAGTCCTGGGATGCATCAGATTCTTGGAGTTACGAAAAGCCCAAGAATGCAGGTGGCGTTTTTGGATTTTTGGCTCTGTTCCTCGTGTTCGGCTGTCAGGGTTCAGAAGATGTCTGCCGCCTTGGCAACACGCAAGTAAAAATATTGTACCTGGTATTGTTAGATGGTCAGGAGAATTTCGTTGAAGCGTTGCATACCTCATGGCTATGTCATGTGAACGCATTTTAGCCAATCTCATGGACACTCAACGTGCAGAGTGGTGGCAGTATTCTCTTCTTCACATAGCTGCTTGAAGTTTTCGGCGTGCACACGTTCGTCTCATGCTTGCGATGCACACCATCGCGTCAGTAATTATCATTGTCAGCACTGCCTCTCTCAATGTTGTTGCTGCTGCGGCTACACTGCTACTACTTCCGCTGCCTGTGCACTAGAAAACCGCAGTCAGCACGGGTATTGGGGAACAGCAGCCCGGCTCATGTACAAGCAGCAGGACAAGTGTTAGCGCGGACATGCGTATTGATAAGAATAGGAATGACACTGCTTCCGGCGCCAACGCTGGCAGTAATGACACTTATGGTAAGATCGCCATGGCACGGGCCAGAGGGGGTGTCATCGTTTGTCGTTGTCGCTATACCAGCATTTCTGGTCTCGCCGTAGTTCTTCTGCGCATTTTAGTTGCGACGCGAGGCAGCTCCTGGAAAGATTGGAAAGATACGGACAAATGGAAGCCAGCAGGTCAAGCATTGACTGTTTCCAGGTTTGTTGCTTAGGGTTAGAGGTTTGGGACCTTACAGTACTTCTGGCTGAGGGTTGTGGTCCAGGGCGGAAGGTATCGACTTCGGATTCTTGCTGCCCTAAGCCCTAAACCCTAAACCCTAAACCATTGCTTGGCAGCTCTGTCTCTGAGGTTCGGTTTGGGTTTCTGCAAGCTCGGGGCTTCGAGGTTCCATTCCGCCGGGGAGGATGTCCTCCTGGGGCCATAATGTAAGAACCTGATTGAGAAACCCTGGTTCTATAAGCCCAAGATGTTAGGATCCGTATAAAGAGCTCTAGGTTTCTGAACCAGGTCCCTACCTTACAAGCAAAGACAACATTTGCATTGCCCGTGTCCCGATGCCTGTAAACTAGAGCTGCTCATGCTGTTTGAATTTACTGTCGCTGCCCCAAATCCCCCCAAAACCCTAAACCCTAAACCCTAAACCCTAAACCCGCAAAGCCCCGTTGTGATTTTGAGGCCCCTGTCTTCAGAACTGGCTTGGGCTAGGGGAGGCAGGAATGAGGTCTGAGCCCTAATTCCTAAACCCGTAACCCTATATCCTATGGACCCCTAAATTCTAGACCCCTGAACCCTAAACCCCAAACTCATGTAAGGGCCTTAGCTGATGGTGATGTTGTAAAAGAGGTATACAGCAATGAACAAGGGATCTTATGACCCGTGTTTCAGATCTCCACAGCGAGCTGAGGACTGACCAGGCACAGCCGGAGCTGGAGGATGGCAGATAAAAGCGAGGGTTTAGGGTTTAGGGTTTAGGAAAATCAAGACAAACTCCAAAAAGCAATGGTGAGGCCCTAACATCATGCCTATACCCGAAGCTCTTAAATCCTAAGTCCCAACCACAGACCCCCAAAAGCCGATACTCTAAACAGTTCAGGTGGTGGAGCCAAGTGGAAGGAAGCGGAGACTTGGAAGGAGCCCGACACCTGGAAGAAGAACGATTGGAAGAAGGCCAGCCGAGGGCTACATAAATAGCAAGAGCCACCCCCCAAATGGAGTAAGCACCCTGTAGACGAAGCCCTACATACCCAAGAAACTATTCCAGGATCACCCCGGAGGTTTCGTAACATGCGTACCACCGTGCGGCGGGACTGTGATTGACACCCGGGAACAGGCACAGCACTGTGGCGAGAGCGAAAGTCGCGTGACAATGCGCACCCACAATACGAAAAGCACTACTGAAGGAAACGCCATTTCGGATTTCGCCAAATTCCTTCGAGTCGCAAGAATTCGAGAGAACGCCGAGGAACCCGGAAAAGCCTCATAGTGTGGCCCTGCTACATGTAGTACTTTTTCGACTTTGTGCGAAATTGAAGGCCAAAGTGAGGGATTTACTTGTGGAAGTGGCGGGAGCACGAATGCGAATCAACCAGTCAGGAAGTCTAGGGTTTAGTTTGCGAAAGCTGGTCGTGCCCCGAGCTGAACTGAAAGAACGTGGTCTTAGCCAATGTGCACCGTGGGTCCTGGCTTTATCCCAATCACTATATCTTTGCTTTCCCTGAACCCAAAGCCCTACACCCTAAATCCGAGACCCGTGAATGTAGCGCCGAGCATCAGAACACGCCGGTCCACAGCACGTCCTCGACTACGTAAGCTTCCCAGGCAGAAGTTTCGACTCTGGATTCTGGAGTCAAAGGACAGTTTAGGGCCGAATACATGGGTGGTTGTCAAAATTAAGGTCCCTTTTTGGGTACGCTAAATATTAGGTGCCGTATTGTATTTCGGACCCCAAAAAAGGACCATAATTTTGACAGCCACCCACATGTATCGTGCAGTTAACCCAGATCCGGCAAGCTTCAACTCCGTCCTTCAAAGGGTTTAGGGTTTAGGGTTTAGGGACCCTAAACCCTAAACCCTAAACCCTAAACCGTAAAGCGATTTTCGTTCTGAAGGTTCAAGTCTTCAGTAAATCCTGAGCTTTTTTCTCCCCCCCCTAATCCCTAAACCCTAAACCCTGCAGTAAATCCTGAGCTTTAAGCTCCCCTCCTAATCCGTAGCTGCGGAAGACTACCGAGGCAGATGGCTGGAAGGCCGATTGGAACAGTCAAAGCCAAGGCAGGGCACCTAGGTTTGGGGTTTAGGCTTTGGGGTTTAGGGTTTAGGGTTTGGGGTTTAGGGACCAGGAGGTTCAAGCTGTTCCAAGTCCGAGTTCACGTTGGGAAACGGCTCATGCAATCTGCATTTCTTCGTCGTCTTCTTCCCTTGTCCCTTGTCCTTCCTCCTAGTTCATGCTTGGTGCAGCATACGTTCTACACTGCTCTGCACTTGTATTGTTGCATTGACTCCTCTATCAGAAGATCACTTATACAGTTGTCATGACTGTTGCGGAATCTAAGGGTGCCTCGTAGCAATTCGTAGCAAAGGGAAGGGCTCAGACACCCTCTTGCATGGCGCCTTGTGAGGCAAGCAAGATTGGTCTGGCGGCGCGGGCACGATTCTGAGCCTGATGCACAAGATCTTTGCAGCCCTCAGCGCGCCCAAACCCGCCCGGTAACTCCTTGCCCGCAGGTCCGACGGATCCAAAAACCTTAAAGCCGGAGTTTCAGAAAGCGTCCGCAGCACCCCTAAACCCTAAACCCTAAACCCTTGTCCGAGTTGTGAGAGTGCAAACCCTGAGCCCTACTGTAAACCCTACCCTAAACCCGAAGTGTTGCAGTCGAAGCCCAGACCCCCGACCGGAAATCACCCTGGCAGCCCAAAGCCTTCTGTAAGCTCGACTTGCAGGATTGGGGTGAGAAGTAATTAGATCAATAATGATCTTGTTTACAGCCCGAGCCCCATAGTTAGTAGTAATAAGAAGCAATATCCATGGTTATCTTTCATTTAACTTTTTTACCCCTAAACTCTTTGAATCAGAACTTATAATCCTATCCCAAGAGTTACTGAGTTCCCATGATCTTCCAAGCAAACCTAAGGTCCTCGCCCAAAGCCAAGTGGAACGTGCAAAGTGTGTGGTGGCGGGCATAAAACCCTAAACCCCTTCGGAGGTGTCAACAAAACCCTAAACCCTAAACCCTACCCGTAAACCCTAAACCCTAAACCCGACCCCCTACCCCCTAAGCCCTAAACCCTAAACCCCTAAATCCTAACCCCTAAACCCATAAACCCCTAAACCCCTAAACCCCTAAACCCTTAGTCCCAAAGCTTGGAACCCGAAGTCGTGACCCAAAGCCTGGAACCCAAGAGTCTTTAGGGTTTTCAGGGTTGTGGGTTTTGGGTTTAGGGGTTTTGGGGTTTAGGGTTTAGGGGTTTTTCCCGGCTGCTTGCAAGAGTCCTGCATGCAAAAGGGTTTAGGGGTTTAAGGGTTTAGGTTTAGGGGTTAGGGGTTTTGGGTTTAGGGTTTTAGGGTTTAGAGGGCCGCATGTGGCTGAGGTTCAGGAAAGTGGGATGACGACTGGAAAGCACCAAAGTCCAGCCAAGAGCTCAGGGTTGCGGAGTGCGGTATGCCACGTTTTGTACCGTTCTACAAGTACTTGGCACTCCTACTGAAGGTCTTATTGTATGTCTGCCCTTCTTCCGTTATCATTGCTGAGATACTTTCTTTTGGTTTCCATTGTCTTCCCACTGTTCCCACTGTTGAACTGTTGATGATATGTTACACTGGACTGTGCAGCTTGCTGTCCCTCTCCTTCAACGCACGCCACAAATCTGAGAAGTCTATGTTGAGATTCTTGGGAAGCGTTGCATTGCACTGACTTTGGATGATTGCAGGGCGCATTCCGACTCTCGGCATGCGCTGTGCGAAATCCTTTCCTCCCGTCAGCTGTTTTCAGCGTAGCATTCTCTCTCTCTCTCTGTGTCTCTCTCTCTCTCTCTCTCCCTCCCTCCCTTCCTCTCTTGTTGCAAGACCACACGGATTGACAGGTTTCTTTGTCATCATATCACGTCTGCCGAGAACAAACAACACATGCATCGACAACATGTTGTGGGGACGTGCCGAAGACTAACGACCGCTTGTGAGAGTAACGGAACAAGTAGCGATGACGGCAAAGCGAAGAAGTCCACAGGCAAAAGTCAGGACTGGGGCTATGGCGCTACCAAAGCTTCATGGGGCAGCGGGGGGCCTCAGTGTTGTCTACTGCTTTCAATACCCTTCAGCCCGACCGCCAAATCCTGCACCCTCAGAGGCCGAAAACTCAAAAAAGAGCTCCACGCGCCAAACCTCAAATGCCCCAACCCCTAGACCTCCAGTCCTTAAGCCTGAAACAGCCCTGAGCCCTACACGCTGGAATCCGCAAGCCCTGGACTTCAAAAGCCAGCAAACAACCCTAAAAAGCCTTCCAAAGCTCTCAAAATAACTCCAAGCCTTTCCTGCTTTCATTCAGCCCGACTTACGCTTTGAAGGCTTTGCGAGCCCCCAAAAGCACATAATTCCCTAAACCCGGAGCTCTTAAACCCCAAGGCCGAAAGTCGCCAAAGTCTTGGAAGCCCTTGGTGTCTACACCTTAAACCCTCTAAAAACTACACCAAAAACCTGAAATCCCTTTACCCCTCCCTAAACCCTAAGCCCTAAACCCCTAAAGTCCTTGAAGCCCTAAGCAGGCTCGAGCCAAAGCTGGCAGTCCCAGAGCACTCGCGTCGTCGAAGGCCCGGTTCTTGGGCACCGCTCAACACGTTGGGGTTCAGGGTTTAGGGTTTAGGGTTGAGGGCTACGAGGGACATTGGCCGGGCGAGCTCCAATCAAGCCCGTGTAGACAGGGTTGAGGGCTCCTTGTTGCCTGCTGCCCAGATGATAGCAAAGAGCCTGGGTTCAAGAAGGGCTCCCTATAGTCGCTGCAGACCGGATGCAAAAAAGGGCTCCTTACAGCTGCAGAACGGCAGGAGAGGCAATGCTGGCAGTCATCAAGTCCGGTTTCATATGGGTTCCTTAAAGAATCCTGATAACAACCTCGAAGCAACAAGCATTCAAATGATCAAAACTTTATAAAGTCCGCATAAAACCGTCTATACGACAGTGTTCAAATGATTAAAACCTTTCTTAGAACATAAACCCTTTATAAAACACCAGTCTATGTATCCATGCCTGTTTCTTCTGGTCGCCTCGATCTTCGATGTACCGTCTGCCTTAGGCTTAGAAGGTTCAACAACGTTTTAGTTTTGAAGGTTCTTTTTGGGACATGGGCTTTAGAAGGTTTTATAGGGTGTTAAAGAACGTGCGCAACTATTTCGCCCCTGGGAAGGGTTCCTGCAAGGCTTCCCAGAAGGTTGGGGGCTTTCAAAGTGTAAGGTTCTAAGCCTTAGGGTTTAGGGTTTAGGGGCCTAAGTTTAGGGTTCTAAGGCTGTGGGGTTGAAGGCTTCAAGCTCCAACGACTCACGGGCGGTCTCGGAGCTGAGAGTTCAGGGGCTTGCGTCGAGTTTCAGCGCTGCGTTGTTCGCGGTTCTGAAATCTGTTGCTGTGTCATGTTGGGGGATGAATAACGGCCCGGCCGCTCGGGCGATGTGCGCCGGGAAAGGGAATGTTCCCCCGACATCATCTTCATCATCGTCGTCGTCTTCGTCATCACTATCATCTTCATGAAGCTGTTGATGACCGATCTGGCGATCGTGGTGGGGATGGTGCTGGTGGTGGCGATATTGTGCAGGGCTTTTCGGTGTGGCCTCGATGAGCATGGACTGCATGAGGAGGATCTCAGAATGCGTGACAGCCTCGGATGAAAGAACGCGCCCACGCCGTCCTGGACACAAGTCCCACCCTAGCGAACCCCCAAATAGCCCTAAACCCTAAACCCTAAACCCTAAACCCTTAAAGGCCCTCTTCGGAATCCTTTGAAGAACTCGAAAGATGCCCCCTACTCAGCCGTGTGTGTCAGGACGGGGCTGGTCGGATCACCGCTCTGCCGCCATGGCCTTGGGTGGCAGTACAGGGTCTAGGGCCTAGGGTTTAGAAGCTTTGGGTTTAGGGTTTAGGGTTTAGGGTCTAGGGCCTCGGGTTTAGAAGCTTTGGGTTTACGGTTTCAGGAGCAAACAAATCATGAAAAACGCCGGAATGAAGCGCCCTGTACATCTGCAAGCCTCTCGCGCGAAAACCCTAGTTTAAGTTAGGATAGGTCTTGCCCAGTTTGCGTAACTACATAACAAAGCAACAAAGCAACCAAGGAAAAAGTCAGAAACATCATAGGTTTATATCCTGAATATAGCACAGTTTTACAACAGCCGACGGTTCAATAAGAAAGTTCTTCACAGCCAAGACGGCGAAGGACAGAGAAAACGCGGAAAAATAACAAAACAAGGTTTATGACAAACATAAGGATACACCCAGACTAGGTGAAAGAATGGAGGAAACAAAGCAAGAAAACTTAAGAACTGGAAGCACAAACCCAAGAAAGAAAACGACCTATTCTGTTTCAGTGATGTTTTAGAAATACCGTACTATGTTTGACGAAGGAAAGAGAACATCCGTTTATGACAAGAACGGCTATCCTTTGGTGCCAATATATCATGAGCTTAAAACCGCCATTAATACAATCATCTAAGACATCATAAGAAAGAGGGTGTATAGGGACTACGAGGATAAACCGCTTTTTAAGAAGTTGCTTAAGGACCTCATAACACACCCCAATACAGCAAGACCTAATACATGGTGAACATTACATTACCTTTTTTTTTTTATTATATATGGTGCAGATGGGGAAGACGGTGATTCAGATTTTAACCCAAAGCGTGAGAACCTAAAGGATGCTACTAATGATTACTAATGTGAGCATGTATCATAATTATATTCAGGCCCCTTTGAATCCAGAGTACGAGACACTGAAGGAAGCCATTAACGTGGCACGTTATCAACACAACATGTGTTGGATTATGCTTTAACGGATGATTATAAGCACACCCTTATGGGTGACGAGAAGAGAGAGAAGAACAAACTAACACGATAAAATATTGTATTTCTGATTAATAAAAGCAGAAGATGATTTCGTTACTACTGGTGTTAGTCTTGACGATATGACTAAGGTGTTCGAACACTCAAGGATTCAAGTTAGGGTATATGATGTTTTAAACTATCTGGTGTATCAGTACGACCCAGAGAAGCGAGACCATCACATACAAACGCCGTATACAATAATCAAGAAAATTCACATGTACACGGTGAATGATAAATTAAGGTCGTTAAAGCACATGTTACCAAAGGATTCCAATTATGATATTTTCGTAAAGGTTTCGTCAGACTACCACTTAAATGAGAAGTCCACACCAGTAGAGTGTAAAATGATAATATCATTGGATGATATCAGAAAACACACAGAGGAAGAAGCGCATACCTTAATACACGACGACAGTGATTTAACAAAACTGTTTTATGAATCCAAACAGGCAGGGTATGAACCCCAGGTTAAGTTCAGTGGGTGTATCGTGTCTGCGTTGAATTTTTGGTTTTATATTAATAAAAGACTCATCAAGCACAAGGTTAAAACGCAGAACCTTGTAACAAATTCCATTGTTGGTTCTATCTGTGTCAGGACAATATTTTTACTAGAATGTGCAAAGCAACGTACA